CATCCTCTGAAACAGCCTGACCTTCAACCAAGGTCATACCTGCCAGGGTCTGAGGAGGCACAAGCACATAAGTACCTGCAGTGAGTCATGCACCAGGCTCAGCCTGCCACACGAGCTGAAGTTTGAGCCCAGCATCTCCCTTCTGCACTTCAGGGACACCAGCTGGCTGCACGACCCTGCAAGGCTGGGCAGGGGCAAGGTGTGGGGCAGCACTAGTGAGACCGCGATCGGATATCCCTGATTTTCTAAGAAGCAACGATTCAGGCAATGAGTAGACAGGTTGGCAATGGAAATCCACCAGAATAACTCAAGGAAAGAATAGAACCCAGATCCCAGGGGGCCTGACCCCATGAAGCTGAGGCAGGAATGGGGCCTTCTGCAGGTCCTTAGAAGTTTAAGCACCTCTACTACAACATGTTGAGTGAGTACTCTTTGAAAGCGCTTAGGGATTTAAAAAAAATTGAAACATAATTTACATGTGATAAAATTCACAAACTTTAATCCTGGTGTCTGCTGTCCAGTCTTGATGTTTGGGATGCATCTCTAACCACATGACTACATGGTACACTTCAGCATATTATTTTTTAAGTTTGAATTTTTTACAACTTTTTTTTTGGTGTCATGGCTCAGAATCATAAGATTCGTTTCTCTTGACTTCTCCTGTTTAACAGTTTTACCCCTTATGCTTTTTAAAAATATTTCATTTTGTATGTATGGGGTATAGGTCTGTGCACAGTGTCCATGCAGTGACTGCAAAAGCCAGAAGACAGCATTGGATCCCCTAAGACCAGAGTTATAGACAGTTGTCAGCTGCCACTTGGGTGCTGGGAATCAGACCTGGGTCCTCTGGAAGAGCAGGCAATGCTCTTCATTGCTAACCCGTCACTCTAGATTATACTTGGGTCCTTAAGCCAATGTGAGATCCATTTTACATATGGTATTATAAGACAGGGGTCCAAATTCATTATTTTGTGTGGTAATATGATCTGTCCCAAAATCATTTCCTTGGTGGAAAAGTTAATAGCAAATACCTAGGGGAGGGCGATTTTGGAAACCTCTATTCTATTTCCTTGACCTGGTGTCTCGCTTTACACCATTCCATCTTATTCTGCTTTGCTAAAAGTTCTAAAGTTGAGTGTGCGAGTCCTATGACTTCTCTCTGTATTGTCTGCTGTGGATATGGCTTCAAATATTAAATGGTTCAAAATCAAACAGGGCAGAGCTCAGCAGCAACCTCGTACTTTTCAACACCAAAGCATCGTTCATTAGAAAGGCAGCTACTGTGACACTGTTGCAGTAATGGGAAATCCAGCCTGCAATAACTCCCTTAGAGAAACGGATCCACAGATGGCAAGGTAGGCAAGATACCAGGGAAAGAGCTACTTGGAATGTCTCTTTTGTCCTGACACCCTGCCATGATGAGCAACAGACCTTCCTTTACACCCACACAGCACACCCCCTCTATATCCAGACAGCAGACACTCCCATGGGCCCAGAAGGCAGATCCTCCTCTACACCCACACAGTACGCTTCTTCTATACCCAGACAGCAAGCCTTCCTCCACACCTAGACGGCAGACTCTCCCTGTACCCAGGGACCAGACACTCCTCAACACCCAAACAACAGGCCCACAAACACAGCAGAACTCCTCTGCACTCACACAGCAGGCCCTCCTCTACACCCAGACAGAAGACCTTCATGACATCCAGAAAATAAGAAAGTAAACCCTCCTCTATACCCGGACAGTAAGCCATCATCTATACCCTGACAGAGGGCCCTTATAAACACCCAGATAGCAGACTAGTCTCTAAACCTGGACAGCAGGCCTTTTACTATATCAGAAGAGTAGGCTGTCTTCTACACACACAGAGGGAGCCTTCCTCCATATGCAGACAACAGGCTCCGCTCTACACCCAGACATCAGACCCACTAACACAGCAGATCCTTCACTAAAAGACAGCAGGCTCTCTTCTATTCTCAGTGGACCCTCCCATAGGCCCAAACAGCAGACCTTCCTGCACACCCATACAGCTGAATACTACATCCAGGCATCAGGATCTCTTCTGAACCTACACAGCAGACCATTCACTATACACAGAGAGCAGACCTTCATGTCTATACCATATGGTTTCCTCTACACGCAGACAGCTGACACTCCTCTGTACCCAGACTGAAGGTTCTTCGCTTCCCCTTATCCAGCAGCAGGCTTTATCCCACATCTGGACAACAGGCTCTCCTCCACACCAAGACAGCTCTCCCTCTACACTCAGCAGCAAGCTATGCACAAGGCTTCTCAACATTGCAGAGACCCTCCTTTGTCATTGCTTCCTTCAGCCCTCATTAACTGCTGAGGTGCCCTCTGCAGCACAACCACCCTCTGCCTGTCCCCTGAACTTGAATATTGCCTCAGGAGTTGTGTCTTACCCTCTCTCACATATCCTGCCCACCACATATCACCTTCTGCTCAGGGAGACTCGTCAAGAGCCTGCATTCTGACACTATGTTGATCCAGTTTGTACTCAGTATTTGAAATAAGCACTAAATAAAGGCAGATTGATTTGGAACAGTTTCAAACTCAACTTCAAAATGTAATTCAGTTAGTAGAGTACTTGCCTAGCCTGTACAGGGTCCTGGATTTTGATCTCTATAAAATTACTAAATTTCCAGTACTTGGAAAGCAGAGGCAGAAGGATTAGGAATTCAAGGTCATCCTTGGTAAATGGCAAGTTTGAGGCCAGTGTTAACTAGATGAAAGGAGGTGTGTGTGTGTGTGTGTATGTGTGTGTGTGAGAGAGAGGAGGGGGAGGGGGAGGGAGAGAGAGAGAGAAAGAGAGAGGGGGAGAGAGGGAGAGACAGAGAGGGAGACAGAGAGAGACAGAGACAGAGACAGAGACAGAGAGAGACAGACAGAGAGAGAGAGAGAGAGAGAGAGAGAGAGAGAG